TTCGGTTTTTGTGGGTGTTATTATTCTGTGTTTCAGATGCGTTATTTAATTAAATAAAAATTGTTTTGTGTAATAGTACCATTAATATAAAAAAGTTGGCTTAAATTTTATCACCAGTTGAGAGCAAAAGAAGAGGAACCAAGTAAGTACTATATTTCTTGTTTTTCACATATATTGTTATAAAAGTAACTAAAATGTAAAAATTAGAAACTTAGGTTAGATTATGTAAGGTAATGAAAAAAAATTATTCATGAGGTTTGCTCGTAAGCACGTTGTTCATTATATAATTCAATATGTTATGTAAGCTGCACATTCACTGAGTGAGTTACGACTTGTGTGGTGGGAATATTAGTTAGACATGGTTCAAAGGGCAATAAACAATAAAATAAATATAAACAGATATATAATGTTAAGAGTTTCAAGCTATTTAGGATAAACAACTGGTGTTTTATGTTATAATTTGCAGTCATTCCAGAAAGAAAAAATGGTTATTTGAGATTTATTTCATTTTGTTTTGTGTTGGTTATAAGATTGGTCAAATTGACCAAATAGGTATAGAGTTAGGGTAGAAAACTAGCAGATAAAACATAGTTTTACTGAGAAAAAAAAACTTTGTATTTACATAGAAAGTTTTAGAAATCACACCAATGAAATATGACAATTTTCAAGTGAAGAAAAGTATTTTTAATCTGATTTTTTGTGTACAAAAGACTTCATTACTGAAAGCATGCCAAATTTCATTAAAGTTCATAAAGTGTATTAAAAGTGATAGAGTGGAAACGTATGATTACTTTGGTGTCATGAGCTTGGTCAAATCCACCAAGCTCATAGTGAGAGAGCTAAGTACAAATATACAAGTATATAAATGACAAAACTTTTTAATTGTACACAGGAAGTGTTAATGTATCTTTGCTCATCTAACTGGCTTCTGATTCATAGTAAGGCTGGATCAAGCTGTTAGGGTGGAGAAAGTTTCCAAAAACATATCTTTACTAAAGAAAGACAAGAAAAGGAATGTTGCATGTCCACACAGGACAAAAAGGGAGCAAGATCAGTGAAATTCTATACTTTAAATTCAGACAAGGGTCTTAGAGTGATACTCTGCAATAATTAAATTACCTCATCAACAATCATTTCAAGAAATCGAATTGAAGAGGGATAAATTTTCAACTCATAATAACTTGTACAAGTCTGTCTATCATCCCTTGGAATGAATATAACCTTATTTTTGGAGGGCATGATAGGAAGACAGGGCCAAGCATATATGAGTCTATAGAACAATCATTGTGGTGTTTGTCTAAATTACAATATTAGTTTACAACATTTCTAAATGTGAAACCCAATTTATTTTACTTTATTTTGTAATATTTTAAAGAAAGTGTCTGGCTGAATAATTCACAACAATAAATCAATCAGTGCTGCATATTCATTAACCTTGTATATAAATTTAGAATTACTGTGTGATTAAAAAACATTTCCAAACACCATATGTGTAATATCCAATCCACCACTATATGAAGCCTAGTCTTATTCTTTCAGTTTGATCTTGTCTAGGTTACTGATGAGGGTTGGAATTCACCAAAACCATTATAACTCAGTGGCAAATTGAATGATAGACTGTACTTCTCATTTATTTATTTATTTTTATAACATAATTCATCTAATCTATTTATAGCTTATGCTGTAATGCAGCTAAATAATAGTAGTTGTGAAATATTCTGTCTGTGTAAATGATCTGTTTTTGTATCCTAAAATTCATATTTGAAAGCTACATTTTATTTCTTTTCTGACACCCAAATTTGTGAGACTCAATTAGACTTAGAGAAGATTTATACTTGAGTGCAAATGATTCAATTATGCAGTGAGTACTACAAATCCCTGTTTATTATGTATGTTTTTTATGTATTGTTATCTACTTTTAACCCTCGTCAGCACACCTTTGGAAAGTGACATTGTGGAATACCTGGAGTCCAACTGGATCCCTGCACAAAATTACAATTATAGTAAGCTTTGGATTGAAATTCCAAAAAGCAATTGCATTACAACTTGTATTAGGGTTAGAATGCAATGTGAACAACATAAAATATATGTATTCTAGAGAAAATATGTTGGTAAATCAAGAAATTGCATTGTTCCCCAGTATACAAATAAGTAGTATTAAACCATTCCTTATATAAACAGTGTATCAAAAAATGTCAAACTTTTATTATACTCTTGTGTTCAAGTTTTTATCCACAATTGTATGATGAGATTTTCACAATACTGCAAAATTCAACTAAAAAAAAACAAAGTGTACATTGTAAGTAACCTTGGGTCCAACCAGACCCCTAACACACATGTATCCTTATAGTGGGCTATGGATTGAAAATCCGATAAACAGATTATTTACAACAATTACCAAACAAGCTTTCTGTAAAATAAGGCATTATAAGCAGTTGTCACAGGGAACACATGTTGAGGAATGAGATGCGCATACATGCTTACCTCATTTATTTTATAAGCAAACAGATGAGATGATACTGTACTACTCTGACGAGTTATCTTCTACATCAGTTAAATATATAGTGAAATAAACATTTAGAAATTTGTTTTGTATGCTGTAGGGTGAACTGCATGCATAGTGATAGTCAATGATAATATGGATGCTTGGACCCCCAGATAAATATTAGGTTATAGCTACGTATTTCACATGCATGTTTCAAAAGCAATAGTATCATATTGATCCATGGTTTATGCTTGACAATTACACAAATTGCTATAAATTTTTAATGATTATGTAAAAAGATACATAACTGAGAAAATCGTTGGGGGTCCATATGGACCCCAGGTGTGCTCATGAGGGTTAATAAATGTAACCAATATCTAAAAATTGTAAAATTCTTATTATAGCCTAAGAGAACTTCATTAAGATAGAACATCTAAAATATCAGTAGCTCAGTCACAGCATGAAGCATGACACTCCGATCATGTGCTGTTTATGTTAGCTTTATGGGATTAGTTAATGGATTCCTGCTGTGCTTCACTGCTTTTGATGCAAGGATTACTACTCCAATAGGTACAAATATAGAAATAAAACATAAAAGAGATGGGAAAAACATTAGCAATTAAAACTGTTAAGATAAGTAACTTGTAACTTTCTGATTAGTACTGCTGTTACTGCACAAAAAAAATGGTATTATTCATTTTATTTTATATATATATCTTCAACTTTTCGATTTACTATACATTGATGGTTTCACTACAGTTATATTTAGGGTAAAGAAAATAAGATAAAATATATAGTTTTTACCAAAACAATTTTTTGGTAATTCTGATTAGTACTGCAGTTACTGAAGAAAAAAAATGGTATTATTCATTTTATTTTATATATGTCTTCAACTTTTTGATTTACTATACATTGATGGTTTCACTACAGTTACATTTAGGGTAAAGAAAATAAGTTAAAATATATAGTTTTTACCAAAACATTTTTTGGGTAATTCCAGAGAATTATAATGATAAAATTCTGGTTTCAGTACCCATGTTTGGCACAGCACAGATAGCTTTGTGCTTAACAACAAACAAATAAACAAAAACATTTTTTTTGTGTTACTCATGTAGGTTTTAGAAGTTATGCAAATGAAATATAAAAACTATAAACTGATATAAATCTTCTTTTTTTTATTCTTAACATGAAAATCACCTTTAAGTTAGACTGACTCAGTAAATGCTTCAGAAATTTACAGATAGTTCTTTAGTAGAAATACTTTATTAAAAACCTATTAGCAGACTTGGTTTTGTATAAGAAATTTGCCATATTTTCTAAAGACACACTTATTAAAGTCAGATTTATAGTAAATATAGTTTTGGAACTCTAAGGTTGGTCAAATCAACAAACTTTGTACTTCTAGAGTTAATTGGGGGTTATAACTCAACACTGGAGGACTACACAAATTATCAAATTTAGTTAATCTTTACTCCCAACGTAATCTGGACTCCATTATCAGTCACTTAATCATATTTGTATTCAATTAGCAGAGTAAACATTTCATGAAAAAGTGCCAAACTTCTGACCAGTAAGTGAGATCACATACACACATCATACCACTCTGTGTATTGAAATTTTACTGATACGTGTTATCCAACAGAGAAGTTTGTAGTAGCATGTGTTTTGTTTGGCAGTAACAATTTATCTGTGTAGTTTCTTTCCTAAAAATATTACCTTGTCAAAAAACACTTCAAATTGGAAAGCTAAACTAAACAAAGAAGAAATTTCAAGATCTCGTAAAAGTATTAATTTTTAGCTCCTATACATTATAATTTGTCTAGTTTCATATTATAATTTTTTTCTAATTTGTTTTACTATGAAACCATATTATTATCTCCAGCATTTTTTTCATATTTTGAACATGAGTAAAATGAATCTCAAAGCTTGCTTAGTTTGCATTTATAAATAACACTTTTATTTTGATTTTGTTCTCTCTACTTATGAAACATGCAATTAAAGCTGATGAGCTGCAGTTCACCACAATAAATAAGTGATTGAATGTACATGATGAACCAGTGAATAAAATTTTTGAACTAAAAATGTATTTAATAGTAAGATGGTATATCGTCATAGGTAGAATTTATGAAATTATGAACATTCTTTTCTCAATAGTAATTATAATTTACTTCATGTAAATGAGACTGCTAAGTGAGTGTTTCTGAGGTTGAGACACAGATTATGTTGATCAGAATTTGCTGTTTTGACTTTTATTGATAATGTGTCAATAAATTATAATAAATGCATATTAATGTTTTCCAACACTTTGTCAAAATTAAAAGAATTTCATAATTTGAATATTAGCAAGAATTATCATAAAGATATTCAGCATATAAGGTAAGTTTGCTGCTCGGCTGTGCTCAATATTTTACAAGGAATTTATCAGTTATTTGTTATTTCCAAAATAGTTGCAACTTAACACTGAAAGAGAGTCTCAAGTTTAGTGCTAATGTTTTATTGTTGTAATGTTTTACAGGGCTTGTGAGGATGGCCAGAAGGAGATTGTTAGTTTGTTGCTAGATCATGGGGCTGATGGTCGAATCCATCCAGTTACAAAGTACTCACCTCTTTATATATCCTGCTATTATGGTAGGAAAAACATTGCTGAAATTCTTCTAAAGGTAGCCTGTCTTTTTGTTTATAATCATAGATGTGTATATATGATTGAAAAGTATTTATTTTCATTATAATTAATTAGTAGATGTTTAGATTATATTAAATAAATAAATGTCACTGTGGGTTTGCTGTTGTTTGAAGTAATTTTTTTTCTCCAAAATTATAATATGCTTCATATCAATTTCTTCATGAAGTGATATTAAAACATGAAATTCTCACATTAGCTAATGTGAAGTCTCATTATTAAAACAAACACTTTCACACCTAGTTCACATAGTGCTTTTAGATAAAATTTGAGAGCCCCCAGACAGTTCATGCAGTGTTTCAGTATAAGATCTGCTTGTTCCAAGATTTTATGTAGTGTGTTTAAATAGAACATGAAACAAACTTGCTTTCTTGGGAAAATTTTGAAAACTTTAATCATTTTCCAAACTTATGTAACATTCCCATATAAAAACTGATTAGGCTCTGTCTGTCTGTATGTGGTGTGTTCAGATAGAATGTAAGTTTTGAAAATAATTGGAATTACATTGGGAAAGAAAACGTGAGCTTGTTTATTAAATAAAGAAAATACATCATCCACAAATACTTGTAATTAATGGAACTACTTTTTAGCAACTACCTAAACTTAGGGTGGGAAGCATTTGAGCCTGGAAAGATGGTGGTGCCAAAATAATCTTGTTAACAAAAATTTTTTCTTCACGTTTTTACATTATGGTTTTGGATAAAAAAAGTTGTAGAGGTTATAAATGTTCCTAGATGAGTCTCAATCAGATTTTGAATATGTATATGTGATATGTACAAATTATACATGACAGAGTCTTTGATTTCATTTGAATGTAATTTGTGCCTCTGCCTCCAGTAAAAAGTCCCATTCAAGTTATTAGTTCTTATGTGAATTCATGTAAAACTTAAGAGAGCTTTTGAATGTATGTGAGGTAACCTAATGAAACCCACTCAAGTGCTGAGTATAATAAACCTGAGTATATGTCAATATCTAGAAAAATATTATAGCATTTGTTAATTTTGTGGTTTTCCTGGAATTTAATCAAAATAGGCTCTGAATTCAGATCATACTCCTTTATTTTATTTCTTATAATTTAGTTGCTCAGTCCATCTTTTTTAAGTTCTGATTTTTATTTCGATAACAATAATGTCTTTTTTTATACATGAACTTTTCTCATCATGTCTTCTAGCAAGAATTTTGAATATAATGTATGTCACTGTCAAATTTGAAAAGTGTGTAATCACACATACTCAGTTTTTTATTCATCACTAAATTTGCATTTTCCTTCCTGCGTATCTTAAATCATATGATGGTTGAACTTATGAACCTTATAATTACATATAGGATGTATAGGATATTCTTAAGTATGACGTTATGAGTCATAAAACTAAAACTTTTATAGGTTTGTGCTTTCTGTATATTTATTAAATTTGGTAAATTATCTAGTTAATACTATAGATATCAAAGGATTCTAAACTAACAGTTTTTGTATTACATTTGCAGGATTGTTACATTACTTTTTAATCAATTTATGGAAAGGTTTTATGAAAGAGCTAGCATGATGGATTTTTTTGTACATTTAATATATTTTGCCTGTTTATGGTCATATAATAAATATTATTTGTTTTGGAACATGAAATATTATTTAAGATTATCAATCTTAATGAAATAATTATATGTGATGTTATATTATTTGGAAAACTATTTCTATTTAGAAACATTTTTACTCCTAAGGAAAATAATCAGATGTGCTAGCTATTATATAAAATTGATGAATTAGAACTTTAGCCAAGTTTAAACAAACATGGAATCTATTAATAATTATATAAGAATTATGTTTGGTTAAGTAGAATCATCAGAAACTAACATAATTTTTGTATGTATATTAAACTCAGGTTAGCCTCCTAATTTATTCATTAAGCACAAAATCTAAAGTGTAAATTAGCAGCTGCTTTCATTTTTGAAGTTTATGCTACTGCTAGTTTGTTTTAATGCTCTTATTATTTTCTTATATGGGTCAAATTATTTTTCAGGTGTTTATTGAAGTGTAACTAAAACTTTTACTTTTATAGGTTTGCTCTTTCTATATATTTATTCAATTTGGTAAATTATTTAGTTTATACCATAGATACCAAAGGATTCTAAAATTTACAGTTTTTGTAAGTATTTAAAAATTGGTGATTGACAATGAAACATGAAAATTAAACTTGAATTTAAGTTATGTTACAAGTTGATTTTCAGCATTTACTTGGAAACTGAATGTATATTTTGTTTCTTTTAGAAATTCCCTGAATTGGTGCAAGTTCCAACAGTAGAACGTTGGTTACCTACCCATGCTGCTGCAATCAATGGCCATTGTCATGTTCTTGAGCTTCTTTTGAAGTTCCCTTATCCATCGTATGTTATGCAGAAGTTTATGGATAAAAGTGGAACTTGGGAGTATGATCTTCCTTTTGATATTAATGCCAAGGATGTAGCAGAACAAACAGTGTTGTATTTATCTTGTTATGTTGGAAATCTGAGACTTGTCGATACTCTAATAAAGTTTAGAGTTCGAGGTAAAAAAATTTTGAAACAAAATATCATTGATTCACAAAATAGAAGTGAAGAAAAACCTGATTTAAAGGCTAGTCCAAGTAAACTCGGTGGTGGATTACAAAACATCCTAGCCAAACTAAGTCTTAGAAACAATCAAGATGATCCTGTGCAACCTACAGAATTAAATATTTCCCCATTAGATCTTGACCTGTACTGTGCTAACAACACAGAAACAGCACTACATGTCTCTGTTAAGCACAAACACTGTAAAATTGCTTCTTTGTTGCTCCAAAATGGAGCTAATCCAAATCTGAGAATTGCTTTATCTGAAGAAGATTTAAACCATGCTCAGGATGAAAATTATGTATTTTCAGGCTCATCAACTCTTGTGGAAGCATGTAAAAACAGAGACTTAACAATGGTGGATCTTCTTGTCAGATATGGGGCTCGTGATGATGACTGCAGTGCTCTGAAAGTAGCTTCTAAAGAGGAAGATGAAAAAATAATATCAAAACTCCTGACACTGAAAGCTCACCAAGACCCTGAGTACAAAATTAACAAGAAGATTTTAGACATCACTCCTTCCACCCAGCTAGTAGGTGGGTTGATGGGTGGTGTCACCTTTAGTTCCATGTTTCCTACAATCCCTGTCATGATCAATTGGCACAGTCAGCGCTGCTTACAGTTTGTGAAAGAACAATGGATTATTGATGCTAGTGTATCTCTAAACATTAAACTTAAATTGTCTCCACATAATCATTCTATGGCTCTTTCTGCAATTACAAGGCTTGACATATCAAATAATGAACTGACAGAGTTGCCTGCTTGTATTTTTCAAATGCCTTCCCTCAAGGTGCTAAATGCATCTCAGAACAAACTGGAGAAATTGCCTGATATTGAGGTTAAAAGCCAGAGTGGATCAGTTTCACCCAATAAATCCTCACTGAAATTGCCTTCCAAATACAAACTTCCAGCTACCTGGACTTGTTCAGTCCTAGAGGAGATTCACCTTCAAGAAAACAGGCTAGATAATGTCCCTGAGAGTATATTTCAGTTGCCTTCCTTGATTATTTTAGATCTGTCTAATAACAAACTCCAGATGTTACACTTTAAGGTGTGGAGCTCACCCAAACTTAGAGAGCTAAATTTATCTTTGAATTTGCTGAAGAGCCTCCCATGTTTTCCTTCATACCAGTCTGATGCTGCTGTTTATAAAGAGAGATTGGATGACCAGTTTACTTCATCATCTGAGTCAAGTCCTCAACACACCAATTCAGAACTAATCATGCAGGAAACTATACCAACTGTATTAAAACCTGAGAGTTCTAGTTCAAAGTCTACTCCTCCTGTAACTAGTCGAGGAAACTCTCAGATGTCCATAAATCATGAAGAGTTGCTTCATCATAACATTTGGAGTCATTCTGTAGAGGTTTGTTCTTTATTCTGTTAGATTTTACAGTTTTTTACTTTTTACTACTTTTTTAACAAACTATAACAATTGTTTCTTATTGACATATATTTTTCTTGAAATTATTCTAGGTAGTTGATGTTCCTTTGGATAGTAAACTTGATAAAGATCAACACTGTCAACTGTCATCTTTAAATCTAGCTCATAATGCATTTGAAGCTATTCCTCCTGTTCTTGCCTGCTTTGCTCCCAATTTGGCCCGACTAAGTCTGAGTTACAATTGTTTGAAGGAAATGGGACCAGTGAAAAACTACCCAGCTAATTTGAAACATCTAGATCTTTCCCATAACATGATCCAGTTCTGGCCTACTCTAAAAACAGTACAGAATGAGGGGACACATGATGAAGTAGTATGCTATAACCTTTCAGAAAATGAATCTCCTAGTAGAACACCGTCAGCACCATCTCCAGTTCAAGGATCTAGTATGTTTTAGTTTTTGACTAATAATCATCTTGGTTTGTAGATGCACTATTCTTATGTAACAACATTAATGTATGCATGAAAATGATTCAACAACTTATCAAGATGTTGATATTTAGTCTTATTTGCCATTTAGTGTTTTGTATTCTTTCTTGAATATAAAAAGTTATCTGTAACTAAGGAGTTAAGTAATAAAGTAATAAATAATAAGTTAAGTAAGAAAATTTAGCTATTAGTATTACATGTTTTAGAGAAAAAATTATTATACTGTAAAATAATGGAATATCATACGTGTTTACAGTGAAAAATTTTAACAGTAAACCTTTTCACTGGTAAATTATATGCAAAAATTTACAGGAAACAGGAACAAAGCAACAAATATTGGACATTTTGTTTTGAACGACTATTTACATGTTTTTATTAATTTTAAATTAAGGTCTTGCAACCAATCTTGAGAGTCCTTAAAATCTCCTTGATCTCCAAGTGTAGATTACTACTGAAAAATTTCTGTAATTGTTTAAAATGACCATATTCATATTTCTGTCAATTTTCATGTAAATCTGTAAAGTCAATAGTGAGAACTCTCTTTTGAATTTATAATTGTAAATACTTAACTTTAATGATCCTTTACACATCCATGCCAGTTTTTATGAAAATCTATTGATCTGGTCTGGAGGGGCTGTAGCGGCTTCAGTTTCAAAATGTCCAAAATCTGAATTTGGAATATTGTTTTGGGGGGGGGGGGGGGTTCCATACATGTTATTAATAATTTTCAAGTAAATTGGTTTATTCAGAATTACTTCCCCCCCCCAAACCAAACAAACAAACAACAACCTTTATTTCACATTTGGGGGGGGGCCCCCTTACTAACTATGTTGCTTTTTTTTATTCGTTTATTGTGTAGGGTTCAAGTGCTTACATCAAGATTTCAATTAATTTTGTCAGAAATTGCTGGAGGAGTTGAAAAAGGTTGACATAAATAAACACAATTTAGAATTATTATAAGAACAGCAAAGCTTCTAATCGTAGATTATAATGTGCTTATAAAATAGTAGGTGTAGAGCCAAGTGTGAAATTTTCATACAAGTAATAAAATAGTTATATTGCTTGTATGGTCAAACAGCAAATCAGCAGGTTTGAGATTATGATATTTAGCCATAAAATATCCTTAATGTTAGATGTCCATTCTAGATTATAAAAAAGAATGCTTTAAGCCTTTTCTACAGTGATAAAATTTTAACATCATAGAACTGTTAGTTTATGTATATAGGAATATTTTATACAAAATGCTAAAATGGCAAGTTAAGTTCACTAGTACTTTCGTATTAATGTTAAGTATTATGAATAAAGGTTCCTACAGCAGATTGAGCAATAATGTTTATGTTTTTTTTATTAGAAATTATTATAATCTGTTTTACTCTTTATCAGTTCATTAATATTTTATATTTTTACCCTTTATTTGTTCAAACTAGTTATGTAATATAATTTAAATAAATTTTTTCCAATGCAGATATGGGCAAGGCATAGCAAAACCATGTTTATAAATTAACTATTTAATTCATTCTTAACAAAGTAAAATGGTTACCAAGGGTGTGGCTTAAAGAAAATAGTGTGAATATTGTGATAGGTAATACAAGTATAAATGAAAGAGAGAGAGATGTGAATAAAATATTTTATATTTGATAGTGCAATGATGAATTTAGTTAATATCTCACAACTTTTTAAATTATAATTATACCCAAACACAATGAATTGGTGAAAGTAGCACGTAATTTATTCCATTTTTGCAATGTTATCACTTGCCTCTTGTCAGGCTTAGTATGAAGAATTAGCAGAAATAACTATTGAACAGTGCATGCATAGTGTATGGACGTTAAACCAACAGTACCACTAAGGTATTAACATGTTTGCTGCCTTGTGCTGTGCTGGTGAGTCACAACTGACTTTTAGTTATGGACCACATGACACACTGATGAGTCACAGACAGTTATCTTTCAGAGCCAAATTTCTCTTGTAGTATATGAGTTTGGGACACTGACTGATTCTCGGCACATCTTGAATGGCACTAGGGTAGGAAGTATTAATACTACTGTGGCAGTGAATGTGTCAAAGAATAGTGAGAAGAAATTGACATTGCAAGAGCTGTTTAAGTAACTTACTACTATGAAATAAATGTTTTAAATCCATCAAGTAAAAGTTGAGTTAATGCAGAATTGTGTGTATATTATGCATAAAATTCTGCCTGTACATAAAATATTGATACATGATGTTTTGCTTGGACATAATATCAGGATCTTATACTTCACACAATGGAATCACTGCATATATGATGACCACAGTGTATTGTCAAGACTAGCCATAACCTAGTCAGAACTATGAACAGGCTGTCTGAATTAGAATGAGTGAGTGGCATATTATCACAGTTGTTATGCCTTGTTTGTCACCACCAACTAGAAGATGTGTACACAATTTTTGGTTAGCCATGCATTCACCCACACATTTCTGAAAACCTTAACATGACCTCAGATTAATGTACAGATAAGGAAAAATGTTCCATCAATTTTATGAGTAAGTTATAATTTATCATAAGTGTGAATTGCTTTTGAGGTGAAGAAACTGAACAGCCAACTCAAAATTTTTAAAGATATGCTATTTATTCCTTCCCTAAGTACTTAATATAAATATAACAGTACTTGCTATGTTGCACCTAATACTTAGCCCACTAATACATAGTCAATATTTGTAATTTGACTTTTCAGTGTTTAATATATATATATATATATATATATATATACAGAAGACACATGTAAGGATGTTTTTTAATGTTTTTCCAGTAGCCATTAGTATTATAATAACACATTATTTTTAAATCTAATTTTTACGTTCTGTGAATGAATTTTATTTAAAACATCATAATGTAAATGGTATAGATTTATGTTGATTCTTTATAACTTACAGAAAGTTACTAATGTTATGTATGAAACTATAATAAAGTTCATAAACTGATTGCTTTTATAATTTTTAACTAAAGTAATTAATCAATTGATGTATAGTATTTAGGTTTTTTTTAAATGCAATGTGTACATTCCTGTTAAGCCTGGGAATATGGGCATTTTCCTGCTAAGAGAAATGAGGCTTAAGAAGTAGATGATGATGTAGAAATTTCTCTTGGGCATATAATGCTTTTTTTAACTTGATTGAGAAAAAAACTGGGTAAATGATTTCCAGTTTTGAGTCTACAAATCCTTTTTTTTCTGATTTATGTGTGTTACAGATATTGTTTGCATAATTTATGATTTCCTTTATATCTGAAGCAAGAAGAGAAATGAACAGACTACGGAGTTCCAACCTGGGAAGCCAGATCTCTGGTACATCATCAATCTCCTGCATTCATCATCGTCACAACCGTTTAGACAACCTCAGAACACTAATCCTTGCTGACAATCAACTAACTAGACTGTTGTTGACAGCTGAGGATGAAGGATGTTTTGAAGAAGAGGAAAGTAGATCTCAGGATTCATTTGATACCATGTCAATTTCAAGTAGAGTAAGTTTCTGGTAAATCTCTGATAAAAAAGACTTGTAATATGTGCCATATTATATAATGGTTATGGAGCAGACTTGTTTTATAAAATATTATAATATTGAAAGGTACTTTTTGTCATTTTTTCATTTGTGATTGTGGTCATTAATTTTTGCAAGCTGTTGTACATCTATTTTTCATTCAAGGATTCTCAGGGTCCTGTAAGAAGCAGAGTGCTCTTTCCCAACCTGTCAATGTTGGATGTGGGAAACAATCATATACAAGAAATTCCTGTAATGATTAGTGAACTGACTAATTTGTCAGTGCTAAATATCAGTGGCAACATGGCTATCTGTAAGTTGCCACCAGAGATGGGACTCTTGAGCAAACTGTGGAATTTGAATACTCGAGACTGTAACCTGAATGATCCTCTGAAGAGTATGATAGAAAGTAAGAAGTATAAGACAATGGATATCATTGGATACCTGAAATCTATATTAGAAGAGTAAGTTTTATTGTAGAACATGTGGCCCACGACCCATGAAAGTTTTATACCTCGTTTTTAACACCTTTTATGAATCAAAGTTCAGACAAAAATAACCTATTAAAGTACCTGAACTAGTGATGCCCTGAATGTTTTGCTATTGGTATATTTATTAACATGAATTTTTCATTTCTTATGCATTGCATGACTTGTAGTATCTGTTGATTTAATCAATTATGATTTTTATTACAAAAAACATTCACTTCAAATTTAATATTAAAATTGAAGCTTATTTTGAGTACACTGATTGCAGTTAACATGAATTTATGTATCATAAAGTTTATATTTCTGTTTTGTGTCTTTTAAGCCATGACATAGCGACTCATAGAATAACTCTGAGTTTTTTCTTAAGTACAAACTTTTATCTAATTGATACTTTTAACTGTTGGTACTTGGTGAAACTCCATAATTACAGAATTGAGGAAAACAAGGCAATTGTACATTTCACAAATACATCATTTATTACACCCATAGTTTCACCAGTAAAGGTGTCATCAGGTATAGACTGAAATGTTTTGTAGCAGGGTTTATATATATGTTTAAAGAAAGAACCAGAAGTGACCTTGACATTCACCTAGAGACAAGTGGGGAGGAGCTTAAGTTGATTTGTTCACTTAGAACTTTTTCTGGACTTGTTTTACAGTTTTTTTTACTGAATCAAATTAGTGTTTAGTTTCAATAAAGTGGGATGCAAATGTTAAATCCATTTTCCTTAAATTCCAGCTTCTAGAATGTTCTTTAATTCTTGTTTCTATGGGACATCCTGTTTGATCTGTATACATTATTGCAGTCTTGACACGTTAATTGGTAAACATCACTGTTGTACTTTTCAAGTCTGTCTTTGTTGTTGCACAACATTTTTCCTAGGTTGTTTTTACGGTAGAAGGCTGGTCTGTAGAGTCACTTGTTCAGCGTGTTATATATTTTGTTAGAAGGTTTTCCAATGTAGCTCATCTTAAATCATTTCTTTTTCTTTTTTAGTACATTACGTGGGTATATTGATTTTAAACCTATGACTTGCAATTATTTAAACAACAATGTGTTAATTAACTTTGTTGTATAACTGTTGTTAACAGCAATTTCTTTGATAGAACTTAATTCAGTTTCATAATTTTCAGATGACAAGGGTACAGTGATAAGTCTGTGTAACAAACTATGGAACGAGGCAAGTTTGTGAGATATTGAATGCCTTGGAGAAGCATGTATGATGGTGTCATTATAAGTCGGTTTTCAGAAGATTTTGAAGGAACGTATGCCGTTACTTATGTCAGTATTTAAGTCCAAAAAATTAATGTTTCCATTCTCACCAAATTTCATAGTAAATTTAATAAAAATTTGTTATGTGAATTTAGAAAAATTACAAAATTGTTGGGTTGACGTTTGGATCCTTTCCAGAGACAAATCATATCATAAACATATCTATACCAATATTTAACATGTTTTGTATTATTTTCATCACTAAACAATTTATTTTCTAAATTATCCATGAAAACTTCTGCAAGCAAAGGAAAGGGGAGGGGGCATAGCTAACCCGTCATTCTATTTATGTAATTGGTCATTAAATTTGAAGTAGTTCTGATTTAAGCAGGTGTTTATTATTGTCTTTAAATCCTGGGCTTGAACAGGGTTTACTTTTTTAAATCCATTACATCATTAACAATTTGTTTACATTCACTAACGGGTATGTTGGTGAATAGACTATGAACATCAAAGGAAACAATTGCAATATGATACTTCCCTCCATTCACAACATTAGCTTTTCCCGTTTTGTGCTTGAGTTCAGATCATTTTTGATCATTACTTCTTGAAGTGGTTTTATTTAATTTATTTTATTTATTTAAAGAACTTTTTGTTTGTGTATTTGGTATCAAACATGAATTCCAAAGTTAACATTACCACTTTAGGTACACCTCATTTGTCTGATGCCATACTTCACACCACAAATGTGGGCGACCCATGGGAGGATTTGTTGGCCTTTATTCACAGAAAGATTAAGCATTATATGGGACAACCTTTGTTTCATGCTGTTGCCACTCTTCCTCCTGAGCCTGGTCAGACTGTTGAGTATTTGGATCGTTTGTTTCCCCCTTTGGAGTTTGCTGTGCCTTCCCAAACCATACCTGAGGATTCTGTTCAGCCCTCATTAGCTTTCTCAGATTTTATGTGATGTTTTGTCTATTGTTTCTACTTCTTATGATGCACATCCTTCCTAATTACATGATTATTCCTCCCAACCTTTTTTAGTTTTCCCCCATAACCTGATGTTCGGGTTCACATTGAGCATTTCACCTCCCAGTTAGGTGACAGTTTTAGTATGCCTCACTCTCGGGACTTGTATATGGTCCTGTTTTTGACATGTTTCATGTTTGAAAAAATCCTGGAGTCTGGAGTCAAAGATGGCATCAGTCCAACAACAACCCATCCTGTCTAATCTGGTGGCCCATTTGTCCCAGTCGGAGCCAAGCGTGGCACTGATTACTGTCTCCCAACCCTCCCCTTACCAGCCCTTGCCTGTTCCTCCTTCCAGTGGTGCGACTGTTTGTTGTTTTTCATGTATGGAAAACCAACAATGGTTCCAGTGACTACCTGATGGGAGCTCGTTTAGCGACCTTCGTTTATCGGTAGATCCCTTTCAATTTTGATGTTTGGGTTCACCAAGTTTTGTCAGAAGGATTCATCATACCTTTTTTTACCTTTCCTTCCTTGTCCCACTTGCCTGTTTCCTTTCCTCCTCCTCAGGATTCTTTGTCACCCCAGCATCTATCCAAGGAAGTGCAAGACCTCTTCACAAAACAGGCTATCAAACCTACTCCATGCGGTTCGTAGGGGTTTTACTCTTGTCACTTTGTATTTCCCATAAAGAGGAAACTGGAGGCCTGTCATTAACCTGTCCCATCTCAATCGATATGTTCACACCCCACACCTCACCATGGAATCCTACCTTACTCTTTGGTGGGCTTTTTCTCCAGGTCTTTGGATGACCAAGATGAATGTCTCCAGTGCTCATCTCCCTATTCCCATATCAGAGCATTCTCATCCTTATCTTCAGTTTGTCCATTGTGGGGTGGGGTACCAATTTCATGCCCTAACCTTCTGGCTGGCTTTGGTGTTGTGAGCTTTTTGTTGGGTGGGGTGAATCTTCGATCTACATTTTCATGCCCTGGGGCTGCTCTTTCACTTTTACATGGGCTACTAGTTTATTCTCGATCATTCTGAACAGGTGTTGGCCTGTCATACTCATCAGCTCCTTCTTGAACCTGCTCGCTTAGGATGGTTGATCAAGTTGGAGAAGTCCTTCCTTCATGCTACCCAGTACCTCGTTCATCTGGGTGTTTTCTTCAACACCCATCTCAGTCAGGTCCAACCTTCTCCTCTCTGGCTCTTTTCTATGGAACTAGCTGTTCAGAATGCCCTGTCTGCTCCTTCACTTTCTGCTCGTAATGTTCTTTTGGGAATGTGGTCTTCTCTCATACCCCTCAGCTGGGCTCATATGCAATCCCTTTAATGGGTCCTTCACGACCAGTGGAACCATGCTCAGGATCCCTTGGATGCTCCTATAATTCTTCCTTCCTACATTCTGAATATCTCCAATGGTGTTTGGACAAGGCTCTTACATTGTTGGTTATCCCACTTCCTCCTCCATGGCCATGCATTCCTTCAGGGCTGGGGTGTGTGGGTCAATCACCAGGAGGCTTTGGGTCATTGGTCTGTCAGGGAATGTTCTCTTCATATTAACATCCTTAAACTCCTTGCTGTTCATCGGGCTGTGGATCACTTTCTTCACACTCCAGAGATTATCTGGTCATGATCCATTCTGACAATTCAACAGTGGTGACTCATATCAATCGCCAAGGTGGCACCTGGTCGAGATCCCTGTGTTTTCAAACATTGGATATTCTCTTTTGGTCCAGTGATCATCCCATTCATTTGACAGTGTGTCACGTACCAGGTGCTTTCAATCTTGTGGCATATCATCTTTACTGATTCAGCCAGGTTTACCTGATGGAGTGGTACCTTCATCCCCTTCTTTTCAGTGGCTTTGCAATCATTGATGTATTCCACATATTGATACATTTGCCACCGCCATCAATCACCAGAATTCTGACACTTTATTCTGTTTACTATGGTTTTTTCACAAACTTCAATGTGTTCAAATTTTAAATAATGAGTAATAATAATTTATTCTTTTGCTTGAGTCCTCAAATTTTCTGTCCAGTATATAGCACTACGCTACACTAAACTTGATGCCTTCAGCCAGGATTGGTTGAAAAAGTTCTTTTATGTTTATCCTCCTATGCAATTACTTTATCGGGTAGTTTCCTTCATCCCACTGTGTGCAAAGTCCTTCTGATTGCTCTTTACTGGACTGATCAACCATGGTTTCCTTGTTTACTCCAGTTACAGTTGTTCCCTCCTGTCCCTCTTTCTTTATTTCCCGACCTTCTTCATCAACCCCAGTTGCCAGTTCTGCATCTCGCACTTCACGTCCTCCATTTTTATGCTTGGCTTTTGTCTGGTCCCTGGCGAAGAGATCTGGTTTCTCACATCAGGTGGTATCTCATTTAGCTCATTCCATTAGTCCTTCATCCCTTGCTGTATATTAGTGGAAATGGAATGTTTTTTACACCTGGGCCCTGGCTTGGGGTATCCCAACTTCTTGTTCTAAGGCTGGGATCTCCAAGTTTTTTACATGTCTTTTTATAAAGGGACTTTGGACTCCTAGATATGAGGTTATTGGGTAGCCCTATTCCATACTTTCAATTTTTCCCGTTACCGCGGGGTCTTTCTTTCCCCTGTCCTTGCCATTTTGATCTGTTCTTTCCAGATCCATAAGACTCCTAGGCATCCGATACTTCTTGACGTGGAAATATATGTGGTACTCATTCCCTTACTTTACCTCCATTTGAGCCCATTGCCTCATGCTCTTTGTTTCACCTATCCTTTAAAGCATTTTTTTTTTC